CAAGAAGATTGTTTTAGTCCCAAAATTTATAGAAATACAAGTTAGTCCACCAGTCATTTTTAATAGGGCTAAAATAGTCCTCGGTGACCCGATTAAAATAGTTTGATGATGACTAATTCATTTAGCATTTCTCTAAACTCTGGGACTAAAACGACAGATTACTGATGGTCAAGAGCCTATTTTGCCGCTCAATTATTTTCAAAATTTGCATATATGTCATCCTATCTATTATGATAAAGCATACTTCATTTTCAACAAGTTACAATATTGATATTTTTGTTACGTGATACATAGACTTCAAATATAAATAACCAAGTTTTCACGTGCATCCACAAGTGTTACATCTATAAATTTCACGAAAAAAAAATATTGCATGCAAACGTCCGCACGAGTTTATAATCATTGGAATGATTGGCAGTTGGGGAACCCTAGAATGGACGAAGACTTGGAGTTCATAACCAAATTCGAGTCAACGTTCAGGATGAATTTAATATCTGAAGAAATAAATTATGGGCGCAGGACACATTGTGACCTGCGGCATTATGATTTCTTTAAATGCTGGGAGCCCACTGGGAAGGCGCAGTATAGCTTGCTGTGTCTCTACCCCAATAACGTGTACCAGCAGATGTGCCCTAACATTAACATGGATCGCGTCGGATTGGACAATTTTAAGGTAAATTTGCACTTTATGTATATGGGCTGTAAATTCAGAATTTGAAAGGGTTTTAAATGTAATAAGTGAATTTTATTTGGTTGGGAGCAGTATATGGTGTACGACTGCGTTGACCAGAACGTGGCTGGGTATCTCAACATTCCCTTTGTGCAGACAATGATGCACGCTGAAAAAAGTACTCCTTGGGGTCCTACTGTCTGGATGCCCTACTCCTGGTCTCACTCTTTCTCTCTCTCTCTCTCTCTTAATATGTAGATAGGGAGGGTGTATTTGGGTTGTCGAGCTAAAGTTGGCTCGAAATCGGTTTGAATAGATTTAATGCGGTTTCAAACCAACTTGTGGCTTGAAATGAGCTGACTCAAATTGAGTTATTTGAAACTGTTTCAATTCGGATTGGCTCGATCCACGTCAAAATTGAAACTAACTAGCTCATATTGAGTTATTTGGACTCTTTTCAGGTCAAAATGGGCTTGAAAGTGGCTCACGAATTGTCATACTTAATTTTGCATAGCATTATATA